GATTACCTCTCTTTGGAATGGGCACAAATATGGATGTCTTCCAATCAGTGGGCCAGATAGTTGTCTTCCAAATTTCTTGGCAGAGATGAGTGAGTGCCTCCTGTGCTGCCTCACTTTCTTGAAAGATTTCAATTTTTATTCCATTAGTTCCTGGTGTCTTGTTCTTTGCCAATTCCTTCAATGCACCTTGGACTTCCTCCTTTAGTATCATTGGCTCTTGATCATATGCTACCATTTCCTTTTGGTACAGTTACTCTGTGTATTCCTTCCATCTTCTTTTTTAAATGTTTTATTGTGAATTATGGGATCGTTTACATGGGAGAAAATTAGTTTTACATTCATCCTATCATGTATCGTTTCATTGCCATGGTTACAACCCCTTCCATGCATCATCAACCAACCATAGGGTACACACTACAAGCTGGCCTCCGGTGGTCAGCACACAGCCCTTCTCCCTCTCTGTGTCTAAGGTCCCCAACTGCCTTCCATCTTCTTTTGATGCTTTCTGCATCATTCAATAATTTGCCCAGAATATCCTTCAATGATGAAAGTCGCGGCTTGAATTTTTTCTTCAGTTTCCCCAGCTTGAGAAAAGCTGAGTGTGTTCTTCCTTTTTGGTTTTCTGATTCCAGATCTTTGCACATTTTGTTGTAATATTTGGCTTTATCTTCTCGAACTGATCTTTGAAATTTTCTGTTCAGCTTTTGGGCCTCCTCATTTCTTTCATTTGATTTAGCATCTCTACGTTGGAGAGCAAGTTTCAGTGTCTCTTCTACCATCCATTTTGGCCTTTTCCATCTTTCCAGCAAGGGGACACCTCTTTAATACTAGTTTTTTTTTTTTTTTCCAGCAACAAAATGGAAATAATAATGTCCCCCTCACGATGCCTGGACTAAGTGCTCAATAAATAGGTTTTGTTGTTATTATTTATTTATTTTTCTTTTTATTAAAGGTAAATCAGGAGCCTGGCACCACCTGGGTACCAGCGCCCAGCGGCATCTCCATCTCCTTCCGCAGGGGGCGCTGTGCGGGAAGAGGTCGGGCTGCTCTAGGCGACGGAACAGGAAGTCTCGTTCTTCTCTCGCTTCCGGTCTCTGGCCCAAGCAAGGGCTGCGTGGATAACGTAATTGTAATGCCGACCGGAGACTTTGAGTGAGTCTGGGGGTCACAGAGGGGGACCCGAGTTGACAATTTGGGGGCTCTGAGGAGTTTTATGGTGGGTGGAGTTGCCGAGTCTTTGGGGACCCGGATTCGCTGACTCCACCCTCCGCTGTAAACTTGTCCCCGCAGTTCGAAGCCCAGCTGGGCGGACCAGGTGGAGGAAGAGGGAGAGGACGGTGAGTTCGTCCGGGTTGCCTCAGCGCACCACAGCGTGCCGTTAGCTCGGTCACTGCCTTCAGATACGGTCGCTCGACCGGGACCCCGCGATCTGACCCCACGTCTCCATCACGGCTTGCCTGCCCTTGCCGCGTCGCCTCTTGCTGGCTTCTGGTGCTCACTGTGATCAGTCCCCCTTCCTTCCCCATGCCGCTGCCCGGGTGCCGATGAGGAGGTGGTAACAGCCACACTTACGTTGTGCTAGTGTCTTTCTGGCCTGCCCCCCACTTTCATGCCAGGGCGTTGGGTCTCCTACTTGTTGATGTCTACTCAGGTCCAGGGCTGTTTCACCCTTTGCCGCTGACTGATTAGTGTAAGCAGCTTCGGCCCTTCACGGCTGCTCTCGGGCGCTTTTTACCCACTTTTCTGGTGTAGGTGTCATCCCTGAGTTTTTTCCATCTCAGCGTCTGAAACTGACTCCTCCTCCCCATTGCCTTTCCCAGACAAATGCATCACCAGCGAGCTCCTCAAGGGGATCCCTCTGACCACTGGTGACACCAGCCCAGAGCCTGAGCTTCTGCCAGGAGGTGAGTGCCGATGCCCCTGTGCCTGGACTGGGTCCCCCCTCCTTGTTACCCAGGCCTGGCTTCCCTCACTGTTCCTCCTCTGTCCCAGCTCCACTGCCGCCTCCTAAGGAGGTCATCAACGGAAACATCAAGACAGTGACTGAGTACAAGATAGATGAGGATGGCAAGAAGTTTAAGGTGAGGCTGTGGGAGGGGCTGAGGGCACCTGGACTGGGATGAGGTGGTGTGTGGGGATGGGATTGGGGAGGAAGAACTTCTGGTCCCAGGAACCTTGGGACGCAGGAAACCCAACCTTTCCCCCCACCATCCACAGATTGTCCGCACCTTCAGGATTGAAACCCGGAAGGCCTCAAAGGCTGTGGCAAGGAGGAAGGTGAGATTCCTTCTGCCTCAGCCCCCATGCCCCCGATTTTGGACCAATCTCAGGGCTGGCTGGGGGTGTTTGCACTCTCTTGAGGTCCTGAAAAGTCCAGGGCACGGGAGGGTATGGGGGTAGATTGATATTCTCTTGGCTGGTCTACCAGGAGGAACAGAGCCAAGTCCCCCCCCCCCCAAGTGGTCAGAGCAGCTCCTGTTTACTAGAGCTAAGCACTCCTGGAAGAAGTGATGACAATAAATACTCTTGGCATTAGTTTTTCTTTGGTCCCCATAGCAACCATTTGTGGGCTTCATGGGGGAGGAAGGAGTTTGAAGGTCAGGGCCCCATGCTGTCTTAGTTCACCCTACACCGTTACTCTGAACCACCTTAGGGCCACCCCTCAGTAAAAGCCTGTTTGACGTCTGTCATCCCACACATGCCCATGCCAGCTGTAAGCCCATTTGCTCACCCGCACCGTGGGCTGAGAGCTGCCCCTGCCTCTTGGAGCTAGCGGCATGTGTTTGGGAAGCAGGAACCATTGCTATTGTCATTTGAGGGGTGCACCTGGGGATGGAGATTGGGGCTTAGGGTCCAGATGCCCCAGGGGTAGGTGTTCTAGATCTGGCTGCCATGCATGTCTCCTGACCCGTCTCCCATCCTGACCTGAGCTCAGAACTGGAAGAAGTTTGGAAACTCAGAGTTTGACCCACCGGGGCCCAATGTGGCCACCACCACAGTCAGTGACGACGTCTCCATGACATTTATCACCAGCAAAGAGGTAAGTAGGCAACAGAATGGGCCTGGTGCCCAGAGTTGGGGTGGTGGGGGTGCAACAAACCCCTCCCGAGCTGCCTCTTCTTGCCCCTGCCAGGACCTGAACTGCCAGGAGGAGGAGGACCCGATGAACAAGCTCAAGGGTCAGAAGATTGTGTCCTGCCGCATCTGCAAGGGTGACCACTGGACCACCCGCTGCCCCTACAAGGACACATTAGGGCCCATGCAGAAGGAGCTGGCTGAGCAGCTAGGCCTGTCCACTGGCGAGAAGGAGAAGCTGCCTGGAGGTGCCCAGGCTGGGGGGAGGCGTCATCACCTGCTAACAGTGTCGGCACTGTGAGGCTGTGTGCCTGGGGTTGGGGTTGTGCCGGCAGCTGGTCAGGTGGGTGTTATGAGTGTCGGGGGGACTGGGTAGAAGGTGTGAGTGCGTGCACTCGGACGAAGCGTGTGGTGGTCTGCATGGGTGAGACTTGCCAGCTCTGGTTCTGCTGGTGACTTGTGTGTCTGTCTGTAGGGTATATGTACATGTGTGCATGTGCTGTCATGTGTGACCCTGTGTCTGGACAGCTCTACATCCGGCCTTGGCTGTGAGAGGCATTTATCACCTGTATGGGAGTGGGTACCTGGGACTGAGCCCAGCCCTGTGGGTTGTTGCTCTCAGTGGTGCGGACCTGAGACTGCTAATGGTGCTGTTTCCTGAATGTGGCCTGGGCTCATCGACAGCACTGCAGCTCTGGGTGGGCTGGGTCAGGGCCTGAGCTGCCAGCATCCTGGGCAGGCTGGCTCCTCAGTAGTGTGCACCAGGGCTTCCCCTTGACCTGGGTTTTGATCTCTAGAGCTGGAGCCCGTGCAGGCTGCCCAGAGCAAGACAGGGAAGTATGTACCGCCGAGCCTGCGTGATGGGGCCAGCCGCCGCGGGGAGTCTATGCAACCCAACCGCAGAGGTGAGTGTGGGGGCGCCTGACGCCAGCCTGCTGGGTCCCTCCCAGCACCTGTAATTACCCTGTGGGTGGGGCCTTTCCTGAGAGCCTCCTCTTCTGGCCTGCCCAGCTGATGACAACGCCACCATCCGGGTCACCAACCTGTCTGAGGACACGCGGGAGACTGACCTACAGGAACTCTTCCGACCTTTTGGCTCCATCTCCCGCATCTACCTGGCGAAGGACAAGACCACTGGCCAGTCCAAGGTGAGTGGGTAGCCCATGGGGCGGGATGGCTGGATCATCTGCCCTGGCTTGGCCCCCAGCGTGCCTGACCGCATTCCCGCCCCCAGGGTTTCGCCTTCATCAGCTTCCATCGCCGTGAGGACGCTGCCCGAGCCATTGCCGGTGTGTCTGGCTTTGGCTATGACCACCTCATCCTGAACGTCGAGTGGGCCAAGTAAGGCTCCTGCCCCAGATCATGTCCACTCACCCCCCCCCCCCCCACCCCCCCAGGGGACAGACAGTGGCCCTTCTGTCCAGCAGCTTCCAAGTCAGGCACAGCCAGTGCATGCCGAGGCTATTGTCATCCTTGTTCTAAGCTCTCAGTCTGTTCCCCCCCAACTCCTGTCGGGGGGTCAGAGCCCCCACATGCGTCCTCCTTATCATTTCTTTCCTTTTTCAGGCCGTCAACCAACTAACTTACCATGGCTGCTGCTTAGCCGCCCCCCCCCAGGACCCTCGGTGACAGGAGGTGGCTTCCAAGTTTGGGACTCCAAGGGCAATAAAGGCTCAGATCACCAAGTGCTACACTGCTTTTATTTTCACTTGTCACGCTTGTGGTTGCAGGGCCAGCCATGCCTCTCCTCGGCGTGGCTTTACCCTCTTCCCAGGCTGTGTGGAGGGCTAAGCAAGCAATATGCTGCTGTGGCTCTAGCCAGGCCCACCTGCCTGACCACAGGCCTCTCTTTGGGGAAGTGGTGGCCCAGGCCTGCTGCACTCTGTCCATTCAGCTGTTGTGTTCCAGCACTTGCATTAGAGCAATCATGAGGTGGAGTTGGAGGACCAGGGCGCTGAGGTTTGGGAGTCTGTGGCTGTGACTTGCAGGGATAGGGCTTGGCTGGAGCTCTTTGAGACTTCTGGAGTCTTTACTCTGCTGTGGCCAGGACAGTGTTGGCAGCAGCAGCCCAGACTGGACACCGTGGCCATGTAGAGCAGTGGGTGGAGGCAGATGGCCAGGGACACGAGGACCCTCATAACCTGGTAGGCCATGTAGGACCCCTGGTCCAGTTCTGCCTTTGCCTGGGCCTCATTCACGAAGTCTGGGCATTGGGCTTTCCAACGCTGCCTGGCATACACATTGAGCACATGTGTGACTTGATAGGGCACATAGGTGCCAGCATAGAGGACCACACCACTGACCACCAGCAGTGCCACGTGTAGCTTGTCGGCCACATTCATGCCGTGGCTGCGCAGCACCGCCCAGCCCAGTGCGCTGTAGGCTGCCAGGGTGAGCAGCAGGGGCAGGCCACAGCCCAGGGTTACCAGTACCAGGCTGTAGGTCCTGTAGGCCTCGAGCTGATGGTCATCTGCTGTCCCCAGGCACTTGGTACAGTTAATACTGTCGTTGGTGCACGTCCCCATCGTCACGCGGGAGAAGCTGAGTGTGGGTGCGGCAAGCATCGCTGCCAGGACCCAGCCAATGGCACTGACAACCCAAGCATGCTTGGGCCGCAGGTAGCTGCGGGTGAAGAAGGGGTAGACGACGCCCAGGTAGCGGTTGAGGCTGATGCAAGTGATGAAGATGATGCTGCCCAGCAGGTTGCAGGTGAAGAAAAAGCGCTCCAGGCGGCACGTGACCTCCCCATAATTCCAGCGCTTAGGGGGGTAGAAGTAGGCGGCCAGGAGTGGCAATGTGAAGGCATACAGCAGGTCGCTGATGGCCAGCTGGGCTGAGAAAATGACAGCCGGGTGCCAGGGGCGCTGCTCCCGTGTGCTGAAGCCGTACAAGGCCAGACCATTGCCTGCCACAGCCACTAAGAACTCGATCACCAACAAAGGCCACAGAAAGTCCTCTTGGAGACTGTTGAGGACTCGCTCTGCAGCAGCTGAGAAATTAGCTGGGCAGCTCCTTTCACCTGTGAGCACACACATCCGAGTGAGCCCTGATCTGCCTCTACTCAGCTGGGCTCCCCTCAGCCCACCATCTGCAGCAGGCACTGGGGCCCAAGAGCTCCCTATGGCAGCATCTCATCAAACCCTTACTATAGCCTGGAGGTGTGCCAGCTGTCCCTTGATAGCTGGTAACTTGGGAACTCAGGCTGACAAGTCATTAGTCCTGAACTAGACTCTTCCCAAAGAGCCAGCTGGGGCAAGTTTGGGGTGTGGGTGGGGGGCCAAGTGCTCATGGGCAGCACAGCATCCAGAGGCTGTGGGATGGAATCAGAGCCCAGAGGAGGTACCAACCCAGCCCAAGAATCAAGACGAACACTGCCCTCTGACACCCTATCAGCAAGTCCTACCAGGTCTTCCCAGAATCTGGCCCTGGCCCGGCACCTTCTACCCTCACTCCACCAACTGTCTGAGTCAGGAGCCTGCTCAGACCCTCGTGGCTCTCACTCAAAGATAGTTACACTTTTGTCACGCTCAGCCAGTGCATGCTCTCCTTCCCCCACTTCAAGTTCCCACTCGCCCCACCACCATGCTGGTTCCTGAGTCTCCTTCCTCAGAGCCTTTGCACTGGTTTTTCCTTCTGCCTGACTCACCTGCCAGACATCCTTAGGGCTCCCTCTCTCACCTCCTCCTATCCTGTCCACTCTTTCAAGTGTACTGACACCTCCAGCCCGGGCTGTTCCTCCCACCTGTTCACCAAATGCAGTTCACTAAAAGTTCACTTCTCCCACCTGCCGTTGGGGTCCTGTTCTCCCCCTGCCAGAATGTCTCCAAAGCACTCCCTACTACCTGATTCCTCAGTGCCCAAGACACTGGTGGGGCGCTTGAAAACCCGTTTCCTGTGTTCTTTGCTGATACGCACAAATGCCTGAAACCAGCCCAGTATCAATGCCTGCCTGTGGGGCTTGAGGAGGAAGTGGGCATCTACACATGATCTGTGCTCTCACCCGTAGCTCCCAGCCCCACATGAGGTCAGGTGGGCACGTTCCTGACTCAAGCCCACAGTGCATCTCACCTGTGCTGGACGCCATGGCGTGGTCCCAGTTGGGTGTGCTCCCCATGCTGCCGTGGTCTATTCTGAGTTACCAGCAGGCAGTTGGGTTGACTCCTCCTGGCTGGTAGCCCCACCCACAGCCTGCAGAGCGGGTTAAGCCACTACCTCCTCCTCCCTTCCTCTTTGCACCTCCCATAACCAGGCCGGTCTGGTGAGAGACATTGGACCCCGAGCCAGCCTGCTGCAGTCCTGAGCTCTTCATGCCTCCAGGCTTGGAGCAGAAACTTGTCAGGCTTCCAGTTGCTGCTGCCCCAGGCCTCTCTGGACTGCTCATCCAGGAGCTCCAGGCAGCTCTCCACACAGACTCTTGAACATGTCAGTCATTTATTGAGGGAGGGTACCAGGGAAACAACTCCTTTATAAAAGGAAACTGAGGGCTGCACTGGAGCCTCGCCCAAGCGTCTCTCAGCCCCAATCTGGGGCAATTTCAGCCTGGAGGAGGGGAAAGGGGCTTTCAGGCTCAGGTTGTTCTCTTAGGTGGCCTCCTGTGGTGCTGCAGCCGGCCCCGGGCAGCCCCTCTGGGCCCCAGCTTGGCCTGGGCTCCTCGAGACTTGTCCTTGGGCTGTGAAGGCCTCCGGTCCTTTCCCCGCTGCTTCTTGCCTGGTGGTCCAGCAGGTCGTCTCCTTTTGGTCAGCCTGGGGAACATGTCTGGAGAGAAAGACAGGTCAGTGCCCTGTGGGCACTGATGCATGACCCTGGTACCCTGCTTCACTGACCCGTTACGTACCCTCGTCAGGCTCTTCACCCACTGCCTGGCGAAAATACTCGGCTTCATCTTCTTCCTCCTCCTCCTCGGGCTGGCCAGTGCCCTCTGTCTCCAGTGGGGCCCCTGGGTCCTCAGCATCACTGTCTCCACCGGCTTCTGCCCGTGCCCTCTTCATCCCCGCCAGACTCTTCTTCCTGGAAGAGGAGGTGTCCGTCACTGTGGTGGCCTACACTCTGGCCCCACCTCACTCCACCCGCTGGCCCGCCCACCACACACTTGTGGGCCTCTCGCTGCTCTCGCTTGCGCTGCACATTGTGGGCCTGCTGGTCCTGCCTCTGGGCCTTGAGCCGCAGTCTCTCCTCCTTGGCGGCCAACATGGCCTGCAGTTCCTCCTCTGTCTTGTGCACTGAGCAGGAAGAAGGAGGTTTGTCAAGACCCACTGTCCCTAGCACCTTCTGCCAATTCCCTTTGAGAGATCTCAGACACTCCCTTCCCATTACGCCTAACCCCAGGCACCTCACCAAAACTATGGAACAGCACGTTCCCCTCCCCGACACCCTCCTGGATCTTGATGAGCTGCAGCGTCATCCGGGGACCAATCTAGGGGGTGTACAGGAGGGAAGGGTCAGTGCTTCCTCAGGATTGTCACCCTCAGGCCAGTCCCTGTGCAGGGCCTCACCTCTGTGAGCCTGACCGCACTCTGCTGAGACCGCATGTTGCCACGCCCGGCGATGGCCTGAGGGAGTTCTGTGGTGTTGTGCTCACCGTCCGGCTCTGCCTCACTCTCAGACAGCCCTGCGCCCCTGTGCAGGGAATGCCTAAGACTCAGAAGGGGATGCCAGGCTCCCAGGACAGCTCTTGGGCCCTCAGGATGGTGGTCCCCCCACCCACCCTGCACCCTCCTCACGTGGCCAGCAGTTCACTGATGTCCTGCAGACGGCTCATGTTGGGAAACTTTTCTTGGAGAAGCTTCTTCATCCCGCGACTGGCACCCACAGGGACAACTTTGATGCTACTGCAGGGGCCAGAGTATGCAGGGAAGGTATGAAGGGCCAGAGGTGGGAGGTGAGATGCTCTGACCTCTTCCAGAGAGCGTCAGTGCGTTTACTTTGAAACTGAACAATCACAGAATCTCAGCAGCAGCGTGGTCATCAGCCACCCTCAAAGCCCCAGAGTCCCCAGTCCCTGACCCCAGCACTCACTAATGGCGGAGGTCCAGCTCCTGGGAGTCGGGGTTGTAGTTGATGAGGAGGCAGCGTTTGATGGTGTTCAGGTTTACCTGGAAGAGAAGGAGCGGGTACAGGCCACATGAGCAGCTCACGACGAGCCCCATCTTACCATGGGGGCCCGTGGGGTCGCAAATGGTGTGTACTGACCATGTGAGGCTAACTCCACTAGACTCCCTAACCTCAGACTAGAGACTTTGTCAGCCTTACTTTCTCTGTAACATGGGACTGTGACAATATGTACTACACTGTACAGACCACTGTCGGATCTGCTGAGGAAATAAAGCACCATTAGCATTGTGTTCTATCTGCCAGATGAACAGGTGGGCTCCCTGGGTAGCCTCTTACCCAGTGTTACTGAACACACAGGTGGGACCTGACCTCAAGACTCCGTAGACCCAGGAGTGGGTGCTTTTGGATACAGTACTGGGAAGTGAGGCCCAGGCCATCAATCCAAGGGCCTGTGGTGCTGCTGACCCCACCACCCACCCCTGTATCAGTCCAGAGCCGGCCCACCTTGTGCACGTTGATGGAGGGAAACAGGTTCTGGAACATAGTAGCCATGAGCTTGACATGCATGCCATGGGGACCGAAGCTGTTGAGCACCAGGAGGGGCGGGTGGGCAAACTGCTGCTCATGCATGCGGTGCCGGCGGAGTGAGGAGACCACATCACGCACCAGGGTGTACTGTAGGGTGGGGTGGGGAGTGGTGACTGCCCACCTTTTCAGAGCTCAGCTCCTACCCACAGGGCCCTCTATCACCTCCTCCACACCACCTCTCACCTTGTTGATCCGGAATGTCAAGGTGGGACCTCCAGGGAGGCGCATCAGCTTCTGCAGAGGAAAGGAACCCATGAGGGTGGGGACATCCTGCCAGGGGCAGGGAGTACAGGAATCAGTGCCATCTCTTCAGAGCGTTTACTTTGAAGCCAGAATCATGGAGTTCAGAGGCACATTGAGTTCATCATGAGAGATGGGGAGCTGGAGTGAGGTGAGGGGTGTGGGCATTCACTCACAAAGTAGATGTTGGTCTCCGTTTTGCTCAAGATCAAGAAGTGTGTGACCCCGAGAGGGCCCGCCACTGCAACACAGTCCTTCAGCGAGTTCTTTTTCCGTACCTGAAGATCAATAAAAAAAGAAAAGAAACTACCAGAAACATCTCTAAATAGCATGTTTACGCTTTGGCGGAGGCTGTTCCTTGGGAGCTTCTAGCCAATGACACCTGAAACTGACGACCTCGGCTGCTAAAATTCATGGGTCGGAATTACTCGAGAGTACACACGTAATCCCACGGCTCAAACACATGGCAAGCCCCAGGCACCTGCGCTGCCTCCCCACAAAGCACGTCAAGGCTGGGGCGATGCTCCCCACTTGGGCTTGCACAGTTCAGTGGCGGATGCCAGGCCCGCAGCCGGGAAAATGGGACTTAGGGTGAGTGGAGAAAGGCTAAGTGTTGCCGACCTGCAGGCGGGTGGCGGTGAGTGGCTCCATGACCCGCCGTACATCTAGGCTGAGCTGCCGGACGCCGCGACCAGCGCGACCCCGAGTGAACACGAAAGAGTGCGGCTGAGCGGCATAAGCCTCGAGATTGCGCAGCTGCGCCTGGGCGCGCGCGCGCTTCTGGTGCCGGGACTGTACGGGGCGAGAGGCGAGGGGTGAGCACCTCGGCCTCCACGAGGGAGCCCTCGGCGCTCCCCGCCTTCCCGACCACAGCGGCTCACCCGCTTCGGCTGTCCCATGCCGCGGTCTACTCCACGAGGCCTCCTCGGTTCGCTGCTTCCGGCGCTGAGCCGTTCACTTCCGGCGCCAGCCAGAGATCACGTGGGGGCGGTACTGCAGGTGACGTCAACCGGCGGACTAGCTTGTGTCCAGGAAACCAAGGCGGAGGCTGCGCAGTTTTGCTACCCAGCGCCGGCTTTCAACAAATTGAACCGCAGGTTCGAGTACCTCCTCAGCTCATTTGCACCAACTGCGTGATTCCTCCCCCTTTCCCCCAATTAAGTAAGGGGATTTCTGGTGGGGCGCTGTGGGTTAATGCGCTGGACTGCAACGTCGGTTTCAACCTCAAGGTTGGCGGTTCAAGCTCACTAGCCTCTCCTCGGAAACCCTATGCAGGGTCGCTATGGGTCGCAACGGACTCAATGGCACTTACAACAACAGTGAAGTAAGAGACAATGTCAGCAGTTCAAACCCAGCAGCTGCTCCTTGGAAACCATACAGTGCTGAGTCAGAACTCGACAGCACTTTACAACAATGAAGATCACAAAGTTGGTGGTTCAAACTCACCAGCCGCTTCTTGAAAACCCTATACAGGGTCACTATGAGTTGGAGCCAACCCAACCTCAACGGCACTTAACAACAACAGTGAGTAAGAGGAGTAAGTGTAGTGCTATAGGACAAGCACTGAACTGCAAGGTCAGTTTGGATCACAAGGTCGGCGGTTCAAACCCACCAGCTGCTCCTTGGAAACCTTATACAGGATCACTATGAGCTGGAACCGACTCAACAGCACACAACAACTAATGAAATGAGAGTCCTGGTGTGGTGTTGTAGGATCAGCACTGGATTGCTAACCACAAGGCTGGTGGCTCAAACCCACTAGACGTTTCTTGGATACCTTATACATGATCAGATGGATCTTGCCTGAAAGCAGAGAATACCAGAAAGACGTTTACCTGTGATGTATTGATTACACAAAGGCTTTCGAATGTGTGTGGATCATGACAAGCTATGGACAACATTGTGGAGAATGTGTGTGTATTCTGGAATACTTATGAGGAACCTGCACATAGGCCAAGAGGCAGCCATTTAAACAGAACAAGGTTTAAAATTAGGAAAGGTGCGCACCAGGGTTTGTTTCACCATACTTTTTCAATATGAAACAGATTATATGATGAGCAAATAATCCGAGAAGCTGTACTATATGAAGAAAAACATGGCATCCGTATTGGAGGAAGACTCATTAATAACCTGTGATATGCCCATGATACAACCTTGCTTGCTGAAAGCAATGAGGACTCAAAATACTTACTGATGAAGGTCAAAGACCTTCATATGGATTGCATCTCAATGAAAAGAAAACAAAAATCCTCACCACTGGAAAAATAAGCAAAATCCATATAAATGGAGAGAAGACTGAAGTTGTCCAAGACTTCATTTTGCTCATATCAACCATCAACACTCATGGAAGCAGCAGTCAAGAAATCAAATGACATATTGCCTTGGGCAAATCTGCAGCACAAGACCACTTTAAAGTGTTGAAAAGCAGAGATGTCAGTTTGAGGACTAAAGTGTGCCTGACTCAAGCCATGGTATTTTCAATAACCTCATATGCATGTGAAAGTTGCACAGTGAATAAGGAAGACCGTAGAAGAACCGATGCAATTGAGTTACGGTGTTGGAGGAGAATACTGAAAGTACAATGGATTGCCAAAAGAACAAACATCTGTTGGAAGAAGTACAGCCAGAATGGTCCTTGAAAGTCAGGATGGTCAGACTTCATCTCTTGTACTTAGGGCGTATTACCAGGAGGGACCAGTCCCTGGAGAAGGATATCGTGTTTGATAGAGTGGGAGGGTCAGAGAAAAAGAGGAAGACCCCCAATGAGATGGATTAACACAGTGGCAACATTAAGGTGTGGCAATATTGTGAGGTTGGCACAGGATCAGGCAGTATTTCGTTCTGCTGTGTACAGGGTCGCTATGAGTCGGTACCGACTCAATGGCACTTAACAACAACAACATGAGGTGGAACTTAATGGCACTTAACAACAATGAAGTTAAGAAAGTTTCTATTAAAATTAAAATGCTAGATTTCAATGTCTTGAGTGTGTATTTTCATAAGGTAAAGTTATCCAAGATAAAGTTTTCCCATCTAATGTAAAGGAGGAATCCTGGTGTGGCTCTGTGGGTTAATGCGCCAGACTGCGAAGCCGTTTGAACTGCAAGGTTGGTGGTTCAAGCTCACCAGCTGCTCATCGGAAACCCTGTACAGGGTCATTATGGGTCGGAATCAACTCGACGGCACTTAACAACAACTAACAATGTAAAGGAGCTCTGGTAGTGTAGTGGTTACAAATCGGTCTGTGAACCTTAAAGTCAGCAGTTTGAAACTACCAGCTGTTTCATGGGAGAAAGATGAGGCTTTCTGCTCCCATAAAGATTTACAGCCTCAGAAACCCTGTACAGAATGGCTATGAGTTGGAACCGACTCCATGACACATAACCACCACCACCAGTGTCAAATGCCACCTTCCTTTCCTTTGGATTTATTTTCTCTTATTTGTCTTTAACGAACAGAAATTTATTGTCTTATGGTTTTGGAGGCTGGGGATTTGAGATCTGACTTGATACCTTCGGAGGTTTTGGTAGGATCGCTTCTTCCATGCTGGATTCTAGCAGCATATCTTCAGCTCTTCCAGTTTCTAGTAGATTTAGGTTTTACTCGGCTTGTAGATGCCTTTTCATATAGCCTGTCTTTGTCTGTCTGTCATCTCCTTTTTATAAGGACACCACTCAGATGGAGTTAGGACCCACCCTACTCTGATTTGATTTTATACTAATTTACCTGATAACATCTTTTATTTTTATTTTAGCTGCATGATTTTGATAACTTTCTCTACTCCAAGGCATATCAAGTTTCCTAAAGTGAGGATGAAGAAGTCCTTTCTGACCCAGAATTAAGAGTGCAAATGTATGCTCAGTGGCTGGTACACTGGCAACAGGCATTTTGGTTGCAACCAAAGAATTGGGCAATTACTCACTGGGGGCCCCAGCTGCTCTGCGGGGGCTCTGTCTGCAGACAGGCTAAAGGATGGAAACTCCACCTCACCTTCTGGAAACTCTGGACAAGGCAGGCGCTTCTTGAATAATCCACCCCCTCCCCATTTCCTCTGAGTCCCAGTCTTGGCCACAGGCCTCTGGCTTCTTCCCCAGAACCTGGGGGTTGCGGGGAGGGACACCCCTTCCTGGGCTGAACATTTCTCTCCCCACTTATGTCTGCCTTCCCCACCTCTGTCTCCCCCTTTCCAGCCCCGTCTTCTCTCCTTCAGACTTGTGTCTGCCATCATCTCCAATTTTCCCCATTTCTATCGTCCTCCCAGTGTGAGGAGCCTTAACTCTTTCCCCGCCTCTTCATTTCTTTTTTCATCTCCCTATATCCCTGTCTTTTGGACTCTCTCCCCTCCGTCAGCCCTTCTCTGTGACTTACGAGGTTTCTTCTCTCTCTGCTGCCAAAGTGAGCTGCGGGTGGGGGGGCCGAGGGACCCAGGTAGGGCCCCCCCATCCCCGCCCCCGGCCCCGGCCCAGAGCCCAGCCTGGCAGTTTCTCTCAGATCTGGGAGGACCATTTCCTTTTTCAGCCCAGGCGTTCACTTAGGTTACGAGTTCAGGACATTGTGAACTGGGGGAAGGAGACTACTCCCCAAGTAAGTGTCTGTTCTGCTGGTTGGTGAGGCCTTCTTACAGGTCGGACACCCTGGGCCAAGATTCCTGGACTCCACGTGAGTCTTTACACCTCTGCCTGTGTTTTCATTGCTGGATAATTTGACCTGTTTGACAATATGACCATAGATGAGAGATCAATGGAAACACCCACACTGGCCTGCAGGCATCAGGATCTGGCTTTGTATCTGCCTTGTGTCTCTGTTAGTGTGACCACGTGGCCCTGGGGTAAAGTGGGGAGGTGTTTGCCACTGAAACAGATACCCTCAGTCCACAGGGTGTGTATGTGAGGCTAATTTGAACACAGTTGTTGCCTGGTGTGTGTTGTGGGTTAAGTATGTCTGATGAGTCCGTGGGTGGTGCAGACGGTTAATGGACTGGCAGCTAACCAAAAGGTTGATGGTTCAAGTCCACCCAGAGGTGCTTCAGAAGACAGGCCTAGGGATCTACTGCAGAAGAATCAGTCATTGGAAACCCTATGGAACAGAATTCTACTCTGACATACATGGGGTGGTATCTGGTTTGTTTCTGATGTGCCACACACACACATACTGATTCTCAGGGTTCTTACTGGTCCAGCATCTGTCTGTTTTGTGTACTGATTTGCATGTCTCCTCGGGTATGTGTGTGCATTTTGTGTGTGCTTACATGTGCACACTGCGCTGGTGATGTAGGTGGGTGAGCTCGGGACCCATGCTGCCTAGCCTAACTCCCATTGTGGTCCCTTTCTGGCTGTGTGACCATGAGCAAGTCACACTTTCTTTCTGAGCTTTAGTGTCCTCTGTTGTATAATGGAACTTGGCACTGTGGATTAAAGCTGCTAATGCTTACGGTAGCAAGATTGTCGGTTCAAACCCACCAGCCGCTTGAGAAAAAGATGTGGCTGTCGGCACCCGTTAAGATTTACAACCTCAAGAACCCTAAGGAGCCGGTCTATTCTGTCCTGTTGGAATTGACTTGGTGGCAGTGACTCTGCTATAGAAGGCATCTCAGGTGTCTTGGATTTGAGAAAAGATATAAAGAATTTAGAACCTGTGAAGTATGGAGCAGGTGCCCACTGCAGATCGCCGCTGTGCTTTTTGTGGGGTGGCGGGTGTGTTTGTGTCTGGTTCCACAGCCTCCCATGCTCTGTGCCCGCCCGAGGGAAATGTCCAGGGCACTGACCCGTGTTATCAGGCCCTGGTGGCCTGGGCAGGGGGGTCTGGCAAGTCAGCCTTAGTTCTCAGACAGGAAATACTAAATATTTACAGTTGGGCCTCCTCATTACAGCTAGTCTCAGGCAGTGGGGTTGGGGGTGGGGGTATGGAAGGGTTTACCAAGCCTCTTCCTTCCTGCCTTCCCACTGGCTGCTCCCCTTCCCCAGCTCAGAGGCCCCTGAGGACCCTCGGCTCCTCCTTGGACTTCCCGGGCCTGCTCTAAGCCTTGCTGGACCCAGAGCCTTGGGCGTTGAGAGGTGAGAAGGTAGGGAGGGAGGCAGGTGGGGCTGATACTGTTGGGAGACCCTGTTCTCGGGTTGACTGGGGGGCTCCCAGGTCCCTCCTAGGTAGCAGGTCCATACCTGTAGTAGGGAGAGTACCCCGGCTCACCCTGCTTGGAGTGCATGAGCAGCAGTGAAAGGGCCTTCCCCAGCTCAGAACTTCCAAGGCTCCACCTAACCAGAGTCAAACACCGGAGACCCTGCATGCCCCCATGCTCTTCCCCATTTTCCTTCGCTGCTCTGCTTCAGCCACAGGGGCCTCTACGGCAACCCCTGAGTTCATCAAGCCAAGGGCCACCTCAGGGCCTCTGCATTAGCTGTTCCCTGGGTCTCCACTGCGTTTTCCCTTCTCTTCCTCCTCTGAGCTTTGCTCAAGCATCATCTTGTCAGCAAGGCCTTTCATGACCCACTCTGGGGCTCTGTCCCCCTTATCCCACCTCTCTTTACTTTCCCCCTCAGCACGTCTCACCCTCTGACCTACCTACTTTCTGTTTCCCCAACCAGGCTTTCCGCTCCAGGGGTTAGCTCTGTCTTGGCCACAGCTGGGTCCCTGCTGCCTAGAACAGGTCCTGGCAACCAGTAGGTGCTTGCTGTATGAATGAAGGAGGTGCTTGACAGTGAAGAAGGCAGGGCAGGTGGGAGGAGGAGGATCGTGTGGATACATGGAATGTCATGTGCATCACCAAGTACACATGTGTACACAGGCATGTATTTACATGTTTGAGAGACAGTGTGCATGTGGGCCTGGTGTGCTCAGGCATGAAGGTAATGGCAGCGGGCTCTGTGTGGACCCTGTACGGCTACTTGACCATGAGTAGAAACACTGGGGGTGGGGCCAGAGCACATCCATTCACCCAACAAACATTTACTGAGCATCTACTGTGTACCAGGTACTGTTTCAGGCACTGAGGACAGAGCAGCCTCAGGCTGCTATTTTGGAGAAGAAATCAGGTCATGTAAGACACTGTAATAGGGAGGAATTAAGAGGAATACTACTAACTCTATTGGTGATGTTCAGGAAGGGCTTCTGGGGTGTGGGGACATTTGAGCTGAGACTGGACTAAAGAGAGGGAATGTGCTTGGCAATACTTGTGACACGTTCTACGTCATCACCCCGCCTGCACGGAACGCCACCAGGCCCCAAAACACACGCCCTGGAGTCCACACAGACACCAGCCCTACTTTCATCCCTACGTGCCTGCCGTGTTCACACCAGGAGCATGGTAAAATTAAGTGGTGAGTTCCAGGCTGAAGAAATGGCAAGTGCAAAGGTGCACAGTGTGTGCCTGGAGCATCTGAAGACCAACGGGGCTGGAAAGCGAGCCGGAGAAGGTGAGGGTATGGAAGTGACCAGCAGACTGCGCAGCGCAGGGCGTTTTCTCTGAGTGCGATGGGAACCTTCATGGGCTGTGAGCAGAGGAGGGAGGACCCCAGATTCGGGTGTTCACAGGCGCCCTCTGGTGGTTGTGGAGAGGACAGACTGGGGTGGGTGGGTGAAGGCGGGAACAGGGAGGCGGTTGCCGTAAAGGAAATTCAGATGGTGTCTCCAGCTGGGAGGGTAGGCTGAGAGGAACCTGGAGGAATTCAGAGCCTAAATAAAGCCAGCTGGTGTGGTGCTGTGGGTTAATGCACCAGACTGCAAAGCCGTTTGAACTGCAAGGTCGGCGGTTCAAACTCACCAGCTGCTCCTAGGAAACCCATGGGTCGAAACCGACTTGATGGCACTTAACAACAATGGCTAATGAAGCTGGATCAGTTTCCGCTCCAGTAGCATCAGTACAGTGGCTCAGGGCCTTCACACTGCCTGGGACGTCTTCACCCTAGTCACCTCCATAGCCCCTTCAGCTCCATTGTCTCTCTCCTGGTTTACTCTTATTTTTAGCACTTAGCATCATCTCACAGATTGTTTAAACTGTGTGTCATGTTTCTTGCTTACCAGGGCTGGGATTTCTGTCTGTTTTATTCCCAACCGTCTTCTCAGCGCTTGAACAGAGGCCAGGACACAAGTAAGAGTTCAATGAATGCTTGTTGAATGAATGCACAAGACACCTGTGAGACATGCCCACAGGGCGCCTGGAGAGTGGTGGGGAGGCAGGGCAGGATACCACTGGGGCATCTTGAGTGGCGGGGGGAAGAAGCCATGCAGGGGCCACACGAATATTCCTGTACAGGACAGATGGGTCTGGCCAGGCTCTAGAGTCCTACTTCCTTCTCTGCCTGCAGGTCCACCATGTCAGCATCCTGGTGGCGCACGTTGCAGCTGCTGCTCCTGCTGAGCGCGACCTGGGCACAGGCTGGCACCCCGCGCTGCACCTACACCTTCGTGTTGCCCCAGCAGAAGTTCACTGGTGCCGTGTGCTGGAGTGGACCTGTGGCCGCGCGGCGGGAGCCCGAGGCAGTGAACGCCAGCGAAGTGGCGGCGTTGCGCGTTCGTGTGGGTCGCCACGAGGAGCTGCTGCACGAACTGCAACGGGTGGCGGCGGCAGATGGCGCGGTGGCAGGCGAGGTGCGCGCGCTGCGCAAGGAGAGCCGTGGCCTGAGCGCGCGCCTGGGCCAGCTGCGCGCGCAGCTCCAGCACGAGGCGGGTCCAGGGGCGGGTCCGGGGGCAGTCCCGGGTCCGGGGGCGGAGCCTGCCGCGGCCTTGGCGCTGCTAGGTGAACGCGTGCTCAACGCCTCAGCCGAGGCGCAGCGTGCAGCCCTACGATTCCACGAGCTGGACGTCAAGTTCCGCGAGTTGGCGCAGCTGGTCAGCCAGCAGAGCAGCCTCATAGCCCGCCTGGAGCGCCTGTGCCCCGCGGGTGGAGGCGGGCAGCAGCAGGTAATCCTGAAGTCGTGGGAACCACCTGTCACTCCCAGCATGCATGGGCTGTGAAATGGGCCTCTTGCACCCCACTTATCCACACTAACAAATCTTGAAACACCCTGAAAACTGAAGTTTTGTCAAAACTCATTTGGGTCAAGATGTGACTGGTGACCATTTGGTTTCAATGTAGTCACTTAATGTGACTATTCGTTGTTATTAGGTGTCGTTTAGTTGATCCCGACTCATAGCGACCATATTTAGGGTTTCTGAGGCGGGAGCAGAAAGCCTCATTTTTCCCTCGTGGATCGGCTGGTGGGTTCGAACTGCCAACCTTGTCACAGTCCATGCTTATCATATGGAGCGACTGCGATAGGAATTTGTAATCCAACATACTCTTACCACGTGGATATAGACTAAAAACCGTGTTGAGGGTGTTATGTAATATGTTAAGTGCCGCCGAGTCGGTTGGACTCATCACAACCCTGTTTCTGAAGAGCAGCTAGTTACCTTGTGGTCTACAGCGCCACACCAGGACTCCGTTATGTAATGTGCATCCACGCAACATTCTGAGCTCAAAATGCCCTTGTGTTTCGGGGAAGAGCTTGTTGCCCTGTACCAGTCACTATTTTGTACGGAGTCAGAAAGATTTAATAATATTAAGTATTGAATGTGTGATTATCTTTACTCTAGAGGAGACTAACTATGCAGAATCTTGGTGTGGTGCGGTAGGATAAGCACTGGACCACAAATTGGTTTGAACTGGAAGGTCAGCAGTTCAAACCCACCAGCCGCTCGGTGGAAACCCTATACAGGGTTGCTGTAAGTTGTAACCAACTCAACTGCACGTAGCAATATGACAGATGCAGCAGCACTGGTTGTGAGGATGGCACAGGATTGAGCAGTTTCATTGTGTACAGGGTTGCTTTGAGTCAGAACCAAGTCAACGGCATCTAACAACTAACAAGGTGCAGACTGATTAAACTGTTGAGCACCAGTGGGGATTTAAGCCCAGCTCTACTCTTGAGTCCAAGAGTTGGGCTGTGAGGGTTAGTTTTGGGGCGGGGATGTACCCTCACTTGATCTGCTCCTCTAGGGATGGGGAGAGTTACCCACCATCCCTGGCCCTGGGTTGGGTAGGGCTTTGGCTGAGGGTTAGTGTTATCATATCCCAGATGTTCTTGGCCACCCCAGGTCCTGCCACCACCCTTGGTGCCCGTGGTTCCGGTCAGTTTGGTGGGTGGTACCAATGACAGTGGCAAGAGGCTGGATCCAGTCCCAGAGCCCCCGAAAGGCCAGACCCTGAGACAGCAGAGGATGCTGGTCTCACCCACTCCCACAGGGCATTCTGCAGCCTCTACCAAGCCAGCAGGTGAGATGGCAGTGCTATTGGGGTGTGGCAAGTGAGGACATCCCCAGTGCAGTGTGGGTAGAGTGACACAGAGTCAAGTTTTCAATGGTGGGTAGACTGAAGGAAACGATGCCTTTATTTTGCTGACAGGACAGAGAAGCGTGATTCTTATTGTGATAAAAAGACCATGGTGGTATGAAGAGTAGAGGAGGGACTCCTATTTTTGATGAAGGGACAGGGGATTTAGGACTGGTACTTTGGTGAGAACTTGAACAGGTTTAGACCAATATGCTCAGGACTTCTGTTCTGGTGAGGAGACCACAGAACCAGGGTTTAAGAACCCCAAGCTTCACATTTGCTCTGGTGAGGGAAAGACCTAGAGTTTTACTCAGGTGAGAAAATGGGTCTGGTGGGTTCTTGTTCTGGTGAAGGGATGGGAGAGGCAGGACTTCTATTTTGGTAAGGAAATCAAGGAGAATCTGGATTCTTACTCCAGCAAGGGGTTGGGTGGCTCAGGCTGTGCCTCCCCTATCTGTGTGTCCACAGGCCCGTGGCGGGACTGTGCAGAGGCCCAGCAGGCAGGTCAGGGGCAGAGTGGAGTTTATGAGCTGCGATTGGGCCGGCACCTAGTATCAGCCTGGTGTGAGCAGCAGCTGGAAGGTGGAGGCTGGACTGTGATTCAGCGGCGACAAGATGGCTCTGTCAATTTCTTCACTACCTGGCAGCACTACAAGGTGAGTGGGGGCAAGGGCAGGGCTGGGTGGGTAGGGTGGTGTCTGCTCCTGACCATGTGACCTTCCTGCCTTGCCAGGCAGGCTTCGGGCGGCCTGATGGGGAATACTGGCTGGGCCTGGAGGCAGTGCACCAGCTGACTAGCCGTGGGGACCATGAGCTGCTGGTGCTTCTAGAAGACTGGGGTGGCCGTGGGGCACGTGCCCATTATGACGGTTTCTCCTTGGAGCCTGAGAGTGACCATTATCGCCTGCGGCTTGGCCAATACCACGGTGATGCTGGAGACTCTCTCTCCTGGCACAATGACAAGCCTTTCAGCACTGTGGATAGGGACCGAGATTCTTACTCTGGTAAGGAGAGCTCTTGTTTTTGTGGGGGTGGGTGGGGTGGGAAAGGTAGGCTCTTATTTTAATGAGGGGATGGAAGGGGTGGAGCAAATCTCCTCTCTGGTAAGTGCAAGCAACTTTTATTCTGTTAAGATGCAAGGATAGCACTTTTATTATGGTGAGGGGGATGTGAAGTCCAGATTCCTTCTCTGATGTGGCATTATAAAAGTCAGGACACCTGTCTGGTGAAGGACAGGATATGGGAGCTAAGACTGTGGAAAGGAAGTAGAGGAGGGTTGTCCCCAGCCTTCCTCCCAGCCCCATGATAAAACAAGAGGTAGATCTCTTAGCTTACAGAAAAGTGGGACTTGTATTTTGGTAAGAAGCTAGAATTAAGGATATTTCTCTAAAGAACAAAGTAGAGGCCAGGACTTCTATTTTGATGAGGAGATCGAGGATAAGGGCTTATATTCAATTAAGACTGTAAGGGGGTTGATGAGAATGCCTGGCAAAAGCCTTGCATCAGTGAGGTGTTGGTAGAGGTTTTTATGCTGGTAAGAGGACAAGGACTCTCTTCCCTCAGGTAACTGTGCCCTGTACCAGCGGGGAGGCTGGTGGTATCACGCCTGTGCTCACTCCAATCTCAATGGTGTGTGGCACCGTGGTGGTCACTACCGCAGCCGCTACCAGGATGGCGTCTACTGGGCTGAGTTTCATGGCGGGGCATACTCTCTCAAGAAGGCTGCCATGCTGATCCGGCCCCTGAGGCTGTGACCATCTGTCCACCTGTTTCCCCATGCTGTTCCTCAGTTGTCCCGGTCACACCTCCTTTGTGGCTGAGTGCTGGTTGTATCCTAAAGACCCTCCCTCTGGATCTGCCCCCTGTGACCTTGCAAGTGGGACCCCAGCCACCCCGTCACCAATATCCAGCCCCAGACAGCTCCCAGGAGCATTTGTATCTTGGTTTGAGCTCATATTTTATAACAGCACAAAAATATCCACAGACTGTGTCTGATTTGCATCTGCCCCTGACAGGGGTCACGCCCCATGCCCACCCTCCTCCTCCTCCTTCTCTTCCTCCTCCTCCTTCAGGTCCTCTAGGATGAGGTCATCCAGGTCGTCCAGGAGGTCCCCCTGGCTCAGGCAGGTGGCCACGGTGGAGCCACTGCTGATGTGAAGGTTGCTGGGGTGGAGGACTTTGGGCAGGTGGTTCCGTCTCCGGCTCTGGGGGTGTGCACAGGATGTCCCAGGCACATGGGGCTCTAGGGAGAGAGAGGTGCTGAGGTCATGGGGTTTAAGGCCACATGACTCTGAGGATGGAGGGGGCTGAGGCCACTGGAGACCAAGACACAAGTACATGGAAGGAATAGGGGATTTCAGAGGTGGAGCTGTGGGCATCTGAAGCCACAGGAGACAAAGGAGACGAGGACATGGGGATCATCTGAGAGAGATTACAAGAGAAAAACCTGAAGCCAAGAATATGGAGACCACGGGGCTGAAGCCACAGAGCCTCGTGAACAAGCCCACAAGTGTGTGGAAGGGGCTATAGGAGGACAGAGGGGACCACAAGATACGGGGAAGGAGGAGCTGGCACAGGAGGTGTGTGGAAGGAGCAGGCAAACCTTGGCTCTTACGGCCACATAGCTGGACCCCAGAGCCAAGGCTGGGTAGACTGTCCACAGTGGGAGAGGTTGTGGGGATGTCCTGGGGCCTCACCTCGTCGGTTGTAGCAGTCGGCAGCCGAGCAGGAATGGGTGTGGGTGCTGCGACGTTGTGTGTCTCCGTCCACACGTGGGGGCAGGATCCGCGTCGGAAACACAAGGAAGCCGCACCTGTAGCAGGGGGACTGGCACCCCATCTGTGCCCAGCCCCTGGGGGCGGGCAGGGCTGTGAGGGTCTGGGTCCAGAAGGGACTGCTGAGGGTGAGGCTGGGCCAGGGTGGGGCCAGGGCAGGGCAGGGCTGGGTGAGGGTGGGCCGGGGTTGGGGGGGGGGGGGAGTGTCAGCGCCCTCACCGGAATTTGTGCCCACACTTCGGGCAGTGGAACTCAGCCAGGCCCCACATCTTGTCAGTTGGCACCGGGTCATAGTGCTCCCAGCATTTCCGGCATCGGGATACCTAGGGGAAGGGGTGTGTGTGCAGGAAGAAATGGGCTCACAATCAGCTGTGAGATAAGCATTGGGGGCCAGGAGCAGGGCTTTGGAGTTAGGGTGGGAAGTCATGTGCAAGAGAATCTCAAGTACCCTTCTCTCTGACCCTGACCATCTCTTTCCTACTTCACCATTACCGATTTCATGCGTGTATAGGCCACAGTGTGATATTTACACCACATGAATTGGCAAATGCTACAAATCAGGGGCCTCTCTCTCCAGAGCTGGTTGTTGTGGCAAGGGAACCAGAGGTGGTAGTTTTGGGGACCAGTTTTGCTATCAGTGGTTGCTTTTAAACAGCAGAGTTAGGGGGTCAGAGTAGCGGGTTAGGATCAATTCAATCTGCTCATGTCTTGGGGGCATTCTACTCTCCAGGGAGGCCAGGTTCCTGTTTAGATCTGAGATTGAGCTCTGAGGTTACATATTAGGGGTCTACATATTAGGGGTCCAGCAGTTGATGATCTTAGATCAGAAGTTCAGCCATGAGGATGGGGGTCAGGAGTTGGATTATCACCTCCTTCCGCTTGGGTACACAGCGCCACCAGACATAGTCACAAGAGGGGCAGGCGAACTGCCGGTCCACGGCGGGGATCAGGTCGTTGTGAGCCCGTTGGAACATGCGTAGGTTGGCTGCTGTCAGTGGCATGAGCGAGGCGGCCACCGACTGTAGAGTGAGAGTGGGTGGGGATAATGGGGGAGGGCACCTCTCCTCTACCAACATAATCATACGTAAGATCCCTCCCCTGAGATGCCTCCTCCCCCCAGTCCACATCTGGCCTTGCCCCAGGTGCTGACTCACCTGGATGTCTTGGTCCTGCTTCATGGCCTCAGGTGGGTCCTGGGTGGAGACACCAGGGGCAGAGACGGGATGGGGCTCAGGCCTCTTTGCCCCCCTCATTTGTTGGTGAAGGGGCTCCTTCTCTGGAGTCCATCATGAAAGTTGGGTGCCCTTAGCTTATGACAGCTGTTTGAGCAGCTCTCTGCTTACTGAGAGTCAGATGCCTGACCTTAGTATCTGCCACCCCAGCTGTGTGCACAGCAGTCCTGAGAAGCACACATACCTGTTATCCCTGTTGCTCAGATAGGGAAACTGAGGCTCAGCAACAGGAGGGGGTTTGTTGGAGATGCTGAATATGGAGGAGAGGGCCCTCTGCTCTCTTTGTGAATGCCCTGGCACACATATGTTTGTATGGTGACAGTCTGCCTCTTTGGGGTTGTGCTGTTTTAGCTAAGTGCTTGGGTCCTGTTTTCAGAGAGATGCTGGTTCAAATCCCATCTCCATCATTTCCAGCTCTGGGCCCCTGGACCATCATGAGGAGTAGGGTTCAAATCCCAGCTGCTTGCGTGTGAACCTGACAAGTGATGTCACCACTCTGTACCTCCGTGTCTGCCAAATGGGGAGGAGACCAAATGGGCCCTAGCTCATGGGGTCACTGTGTGCCTGCAAGTCAGTCAACACAGGGTCTCCCTGAGCCCTGCCCATGGGAAGTGCTGAGCAGGCAATATCATAGTCTACCAGCCACCAATGCCAAACCAGCTGGGTCATCACACACTTCAAAGCTTTTCATTTATTCATTCATTCATTCCACATAGGGATTCCCAGCTGCTCTCTCCTCTCCCATCTCCTGCTTTTCCCAGCCTTTCTGGGTGTCCCTTGCTCACCTGTCAGCCTGAGCAATCCCTCTTCCATCCCCTCCTCTTCCCAGTGGCTGGCATCATACTCCAAGCACCCTTCCCTAACCTCCAGGGCTCCCCAACGTCGACATTTTTTGACATTTTTTTGTGTGTCTGCCTCCTTGATTTCACACCATCAGCATATATTGAGCACTTCCTATTTGCCAGCTCCCCCGTGGGACCCACAATGAAAAGGTGACCAAGTTAATGAGGCTGGACACCGCGCCTAGTCCCTCCAGCTCCGGAGGAGGCTCTTAGTTGATGGATGTTCCCTTCGGTTCCGCTTCCCCTTCCCCTACCCTGTGAGGGGAGGGGCAAGTTACCTGAGCCGGTAGGTCGTTACTCAGTTCCTGTCCATCTTTCTGCTTTACCTCTGGCAGGGAGATGGCGAATAAGTGAAGGAGCCCAGAGGTGCTGTGGGTGCATCAGGCCCCCAGAACCCAAGCAGAGGGTAGGGCTCCCGCAGACACTGCAGTCAGCACCGCTTCCCGCCTTGGGCTCTCCTTCCCACCTGCGCGTGGCCCCCAGCTCACCGTAAACGATGGAGCGCCCCACTCCTGTGTGGTCTCTATCAAACTTTCTCATCAGCGCCCCCGCTTTTTGGGAGGATACCTTCCCATGAAACTTCTCTCGAAGGCGCCGGACACTCTTCTCCAGCTAGGACGTGCATAGAAGGGCTACGGTAGGTGGAGGAGAGGCGCCCGGGCCCCTTTCCTTCCCCAGGCATCCTTCACCCGGCCTGAAATTGACCCTCGGGTTTGGTCTCTGCCCCTCACCCCCATCCTCCTACGGTATTTCCTGGAAAAAGCCAAAGTCTTCACAGGATATTGGGGGATGGAGCGCGGAGGACTCGGGCAAGCATCCCTGGCTGTGGGTAGATCAGCCAGGTAACTTCTGGCCTTTGACCCCAGATGCTGAAGACCCCGCTTTTTCTCAGGGAGGCCGCATTTCGTTCTAAGAATACAGGGGATCACTCTGTTTTCTTAGAGGGTCGCGCACTGGCCAGCTGGAAGATCTGAGTTTATGATGAGGGTCCTGGGGAACTACGAAGCCCCCTCCACGCGCCCAGTCCCTCCCCAGCATCTCTCAGGGGCTCCCTGTGCGGCTGTCGCCATCTCCTACCTCCACACCTTCCTGAGACATGGTGACAGCGGCCAAGTCCCCGTGAGGGTCCGCACGGCGTGCCAAGCAGCCCCGCTACCTGGCCGCGCCCGTTGGTCTAGCGGCCAAGCAGGGCGGGGTGCGGTGCTTCGGGTCGGCCCGCCCTTCCTTTCTGGCCCCCTCTTTCGCTTTCGTTTCTGGAGGGCCGGACGCCTTGGCTCCGCCTTAGCTCAGCCCCTGCTCCTGTGCCCCGAACCCTGGCCGTCTTCTCCGGTCCGCGTCCTGCAGCGGAGCGCGCAGACCTCGGATATGCTAGGCGGCGCGGCCTCTGCAGTCGGTCACATGTTCCCACGCTGCGCGGGGTCCGCGTCTTCACGTCCCTCGTGGGGGCGGGGCCGCGGCGAGGCCCCGCACATCCCAGCTCAACACCCCTCCACCCGAGTGCATCACTTTCCTCTGGTTCCTTCCTGTCTCCATGTGTCAGGAAGGAGTCTGGCGCTAATGCGGATCTGGGCCTCTTCCTCACGCTGGCCAGGTCACTGTACTTTCCTGAACCTCAGTTTACACCTCTATCAAATGAGGATGATGGTAGTGGCTGCATCCTGGCAGTGGGGATGGGGCGGGATGGGGGTGGATAGCGCCTGGTTCCAGAGACATGCAAATAGTCACTGAGTTCTGTACTTTGTGCTGGGTCCGAAGGGGGCGGACAGCTAGGCTGTGGGTGCTTGTTAAAAATAAAGATCCCTGGCCTTTGGCAGCCTTTGGGAATCCGACTGTCCTAAGTTTCTGAGAATCTGCATTGCAAATCTGAAGGTTGGGAACCATGCAGGCCAAGATCATTCTAATGTAACACAGGGGACTGGAAGGGTGGGGGGCATCAGGAATGACTTCTTGGAGGAGGAGCTGACTTGCATGGAGTGCCTGAAGTTTGAGGTCACAGTGAGGTAAAGAATAGAGTGTTGTTAAGTACTGTCCAGTGGTTTCTGACTCATATCGACCCCTGTATAGGGTTTCCAAGGAGCAGCTGGTGGGTTTGAACCACCAACCTTGTGGTTAGCAGTCTAGTTAGTGTTTATCCCACAGTGCCGCACCAGGACTCTGTAGAATAGAGTTGGGGAAAAAACAGCGCAGGAAGACTGCAGAAGCAATTGAGATCCTAGTGCTTCAGACAGTTTCTAATCTTTGACACTGTTGATAAGTTGGGCCAGGCAGTTCTTGGTGATAGGAGGCTGTTCTGTGAATTGTAAGCTGTTTAGTAGCATCTCTAGATTTACCCACTTGATGCCAGTAGTGCCCTTCCCCAGTTGTGACAACCAAAAAATGTTCCCAGACATTGCCAAATGCAAAATAACATTAGAGGAAAAGGCTCCAAGTTTTTCTTAATAGTTCACCCCTATAAACCAATCAATCCATCAAACAATCATTGATCAATAGATGGCCTGGGTGGTGCAAACTGTGCTAGTCTCCTAAGTTAAAGCTTGGTGGTTTGAACCCACTCAGCAGCACTGCGAAAGAAAGGACTGGCAATCTACCTGTGTAAAAATTACAGCCAAGAAAACCCTACGGAGCAGTTGGACTCCGTAACGTTTTGGTGTTGTGGTTGCCATGAATTGGAACCCTCACGATGAGTTCAAGTTTACTTTTTCTCAGTAAAAAATGTTGACTCTCTTTCCCCCATGTTTATGCTTCTGTATTTATAAATTGTATTAGGTTCCAGCAGTACTAATGTAATCTGTAAAGGTGCCTTGGTGGAGCTGTAAGATAAACACTGGACTGCTAACCCCAAGGTTGGCAGTTCAAAGCCACCAGCCACTCTGTGGGAGAAAGATGAGGCTTTCTGCTCCAGTAAAGATTAGAGCCTCAGAAGTCCTATGCAGGGTTGCTATGAGTTAGAATGGATGCAGCGAGGTGATATATTTTGTAGGGCGTTCTTGTGGTGCAGTGGGTTAAGCATTGGGCTGCTAATTTCAAGATTGGCTTTTTCAAACCTAACATCCACTTCTCAGGAGAAAGATGAGGCTTTATGCTCCTGTAAAGATTTATAGTGTCAGAAGCCCTATGTCTGACACGGTTACTAGGAGTTGGAATAGACTCCATGGCAGTGGGTAATATATTCTGTATATTACACAGAAATGGAGATGAAGAATATATATGTTCACCATTCAGCGCTGCAGCTGCAGCCATGAGTATGCTGGGGCTCCAGAAGAGGCTTGCCTCCAGTGTTCTCCGCTGTGGCAGGAAGAAGGTCTGGTTGGACCAATGAAATCGCCAATGCCAACTTCTGTCAGCAAATGCAGAAACTGATCAAAGATGGTAATCCACAAGCCTATTACTATCCGTTGGCTGGCTTGATGCTGGAAAAATTCCTTAGCCTGCCGGAAGGGCAGGCGTATGGGCATAGGTAAGTGGAAGGGTACTGCCAATGCTTGAATGCCTGAGAAGGTGCCTGGATGATGATGAGGAGAATTCTGCGCCGGCTGATCAGAAGATACTGTGAATCTAAGAAGATTGACTGCCACGTGTATCACAACCTGTACCTGAAAGTAAAGGGAAACGTGTTTAAGAACCAGCGGATTCTCATGAACACATCCACAAGCCGAAGGCAGACAAGACCTGTAAGAAGTGCCTGGCTGACCAGGCTGAGACCCACAGGTCTAACTAAGATCAAGGAAGCATGCAAGCGCTTGGAGGAACGGCTCCAGGCAAAGAAAGAAGAGATCATCAAGACTCTGTCCAAGGAGGAAGAAACCAAGAAATAAAGCTGCCTCGCTCTTGTCTGTATGTAGCGGCCTGAGCAATTGTATACATCTGTCATTCAATAAAACAAGCCTTTGTCTGCCTGTCCAGAAAAAAAAAAAAGAATATATATGTGTTTTAATGTTTCCTGGACTCCATGTATGATGCTGTAGGATTAGCACTGGACTGTGAACCACAAGGTCAGAAGTTCAAACCCTAGGTGCTCCTAGGAAACTTGATACAGGGTTGCTATGAGTCAGAACAGATTAAAAAAAAAAATGTTTTATTGTGAATTATGTGATAGTTTACATGGTAGAACATTAGTTTTACATTCATTCTATCGTATATCGTTTCATTGCCATGGTTACAATCCCTTCCATGCCTCATCAACCAACCAAAGGGTACACACTATAAGCCTGCCCCCCCTCCCCCGGTTGTCAGCGCACAGCCCCTCTCTGTCTCTGGATCTAAAGTCCCCAGCTGCTCTATCTCTCCACGTCATCGTCTCTGCCTCCATCTCAGGCATCACTGCTTCTCTGGGTAGGGTCCTGCTCTCAACTCTTCTCCATTGATGGTCCCAGGGACCTCTGCTTCTAGACTGAAAAGTTAACCACTCCCCTCCTTGCTATAAAACGTCTACCTTTACATTTCCAACCCTCACAATCAGTCCTGATAATAATTATTCACTATTGTATCATAAGAGACATATCTGTATTTCATCAGCCCCACCCAGACAGATTGGATACTACTCACTGGAGATTCTACCTTCCCCCATGCCCTCTAAATCTATGTTCCCTCTTGAAAGCTTGTAAGCCAGTCACTTCTTGCCTTTGTATCTCCCCCCACCACCACCTTATTTTGGGTAGCCAATGTCCAAGTTGCCCATCCCTGCCCTGTCTACTCTGTGTGAGATAGAACAGATTTGATGGCACTTTACAACAACAACAACGTTTCCTACTTGAACCCCAAAAGTTGGTTTATGGCATGTGTGCACGCCTCTTTGGAGACTGCCTTGTTAGCATCTGCCAGCAATTCGTGTTCTTAGTCACTGAAGCCACCACTGGTCTGTCAGTTTGTTGTATTGTGGTGGCTTGTGTTACTGTGATGCTGGTATTTTAAATACCAGCAGAGTATTTTCAGTGGAGCTTCCAGTCTAAGACAGACTAGGAAGAAGGAAAGGTGGACAGTTTCTGACTAGTTAGCCACTGAAAACCTTCTGAATAGCAGTGGTGCATATCTAATAGAGTGGCGACAACAGTGGATTGAAGAATAACAATGGTTGTGAGATTGCTCAGGATGGAGCAGTGTTTTGTTGTTTGTGCACAGGGTCACTGTGAGTCAGAAGCAACTAGGTGGCACCTACAACAACAGCAACAACAGTCACTGAAGAGTGTCAGGGAAGACCACAAGAAACGATTTTTGAGGGCACACCTGACCTTACCAACAAAGTGGAAAGACAACCTACAGATGGGGAGAAAATACTTGAGAACTATCTATCTGATAGGGGCTTAATCTCCAGACATATAAAAAGCTTCTATAATGTAACAACTGAAAGACACAAACCCAAACAAAACCAGAGCAAAGGAAATGAATGGACATTTCACCCAAGAGGATATATAGTACAAATGGTCCACAAACACATGAAAAGACGCTTGAGAGGAGGGAGGGAGTTACAGGGCTATCTTGGGGAGGATGGAGCAGCAAGTGGGGTGGAAGCATGAACCATTGTTACCAGTTGTATTACTTGCTTATTGCTGCATAACAAATCACCCCAAAATTGTGTGGCTTAAAACAATCAATTCTTATGATCTTATAAACTTTCAGGGGTCAGGCATCCAGGAGTGACTTAGCCAGATTGTTTGGGCTCAGGGTCTCTCATAGATTTCAGTCAAGGTGTTGGCCAGGGCTGCAGTCATCTGAAGGTCTGACTGGGGCGAGGGAATCTGTTTCCAACGTGGCTCACGCCTGTGATTGGCAGGCTGGTTTGGTGGGAGGCGTCAGTCAGTTCCAGAGCAAGCATCCAAGACAGGGAAAGCCAAATGGAAGATTTTATGACTTAGTCTTAGTAGTCACCTAGTAGTCACCTAGTATCATCATTCTGCACCTTAAGAGAGAGTCACAAGATCTAGCATGTATCAGGGAGAGGGGAATAAATACAGACCCTCTCTCTTCTCCCACCCTCCCATCTTCTGTTAGAGTGTCTTATTGATGAACCTCTGGTTGAATCCAGCTGGAAGCCAGAAGGCAAGAGAGCTTACTGGTGCAGGCAGCCTCTCAGGGCCCAAGCATCCTGCCTCATTTCCAAC